TGCATGTCTCCATCCTATCTGCGCATGACAATGACTATGTTATCATTACCTATGATTAAGGATTCCCGAGGGAATCCGAAACACCAGGAAAACAAACCCCTTGTTCCAGTGATCGCATCTACTTCTTTGGATAACAACCAATACCTAACCTTTATTTGATATTAACATTGACGGGTTTTGAGGAAGGAAACTTGGCTCTTGGGGAACATCATAAACAAAGTGCTGCAGACTGCGGCTGTGTTGACGGCAACGATCGGTATGTGGCCCCACTTACTTTCTGCTGTTTAGTCCTACACCCATCCCACCTCAGGCGACCGATCAGCTAGGCGATGGCCTGTTGCTGGCGGTGGGTGAGGGAGTGAGGTTGACCCCTTGGGTATTTCTTTCCTCACTCAAAACAAGCTGATGCGCTTTAAGCTATCACTGCGCACTAAAAGCAGTGGCTTGGAGGGTTGCCAACTGACGGGATAATTTGGACACTGCCAGTGTTTCAGTGTTCCTTGTTGGGTAGAGTGGCGTACTATGGACTAAGAATCAGGCTCAATGTCTTCTTTTTAAGGTGGTCCTTATGGCGCTCCCACGCGGGAGTCTACCTAGCAGGGTGGTTTTGTTGTGGTGCGTGTTGTAGTGTGTCCTGTCTTCTCGGCTTTTGTCTTGACATCGGGTTCAGGTGTGGGAGTGGTCAGCAAGTGGGGTAGATCAGGCGAGTCTACTCTCACTAAAATTAATCTGTAGTCAACGCGTCTGCCTTCAACTTGCTGGAGCTCATGGTGGACATCGTCGAGTGCGACGGTCGAACTGTCAGTGTTTACTTTAGGGCTTAGGGCTAGGGTTAGTGGTTCGGGGTTCGTTTTTAGACAAACACTTAGGCTTTAAACACAATTTTAGTGCTAGGAATGAGGCTATCACTGTTATCAACTGCAATTATAGCTTCAGTCGAGGCCATCATGAGAATCGGATTAGACGATATATTCTTCACACTTTCTCCATCAATGTGGTCGGTTATTTCGCGCCGGGATTCCATTCGTCTGGAATATCTGACCATTGACCTCGATTTTCATTTTGTCCACCCGTTTGCAACTCTAAGTGTCTAGTATTTCGAGTTTCGCGCCAGAACGTTTACGTCATATTGATGTAGATAAACAAGTGCAAGTTTCAGAACCTGTGCTTTCGGAACCTAGTTATTCATCAGTTTCATTAACCGTACCCATAAAACTACATTTAGCAGCAATCCTGTATTACGGGAATCCCTGTCTCCCGTTTTCTCAACAAGGCCACACACATTCATATTGAATTGCACGTGACATGGTTGGTCATGCGAAGGCTTCTAAAGAAACTAAAAAAGTCACGATTCCAATCCTGTTGAAATTATACAGGGAATGCTGGGGACAAACTAC